GTTTCATTCGCATCATGCGTGTTTTAGTTTGGTTGAGTATTACTTATTTGACAGTAATTATTTCCGTACCCGACGACGAAGAACGGGAATAAGCCCTGATTCGGATATCCGCAAAAAATCAGTGTAACCTACATAGTCCAGAGAATCGCTAAGCTCAAGTGACAGCGAGCGGGGTACATTGCTCGTGGATCAGATAGCCGATTGGCCAGAGGACCGAGTTTGGGCAGACCACTCCCAAGTTGGACCGGATGACCTGGTGAAGGTAGCGGGAATCAGCTGAATGGATACAAGACCGGTCGTTGTGGCTATCTTTGGAGGAGACTTATATTGAGCAGTGGACCTCTCGCGGTTGAAGTGATGTTGAATCAATCAGTAATCGTTGCAGGTTGCACAGTCCCCTAACGCCTTTATACACGTTCCCAACATCTGAGAATATCCATGATCCTAGCCTCAATCTCCATACAGTACATTACACCCTCCCTATCCTTCCTAACTCCTTCTTTGTCCGCAGGCCCGTCTCGCGTCTCGACGAATTCCGACGAGAACTCTCCTACACATCTAAAATCTCGCAACAAATCCTCCAATAGACGGTCTATCGTGATGGTGAAATCTGGCTCCCTTCCAGACGTATCAGTGGAAAATCGATCCTCCTTACAGGGCAGGACGCACAGAAACAAATGCACGGACTTTTGCAACCATCGATGTCGGTCCGCGTCCCCGCGCTACCCGAGCGCAGATCGTGGTGTTTTCGAACCTGGCACCTCATCAGACAAGTTATCTAAAAAAAAACATTCACTCGGTGTTAAAAATATGTTACCAACAAAACCTTGCAAAAAACCATGTTGTCATTACACTACAAACGCGTACACTCAAAGCGATTCTTTTTTCGATAGGCAGTTAATTTTTTTTACTGGCAGGGACGTTACGATCATGGCGTTTATGTGTGCGGTCGCTGCGTTCCTGTTTATCTTCGCAGCGCCCGCGTATTATAGGGACCGCCACCGGTAGCAATTAATACCTGTAAATATGTTTATATGTAAATATATTATAAATTATTATACGCCGTTTCATCTGTAGATTTGCTAAATAACTTAAGAACTTTGTTTATTATTAGGACGGAAATTGCTACCTAGCAATAAGGCTGCCTGTTTAATTTACTCGAGGGAAAACTACAAACAATTTCTCGCAGGAATATACGAGATGTACGGTAATTGTATGCTCCACTGACATTGGAACGTTTACCCTTGCACCGGGAGACGGGCGAGGCGGGGGGAGGCGACCGTGACCTGCTCGCTCAGGATAGGGGCGGGGGTGTTGAATTAAAATTTGTTACGTGGGACGTTCCTGCAGTGTGTAGGCGGAGAGGATTTCGTATATTGCTACATTACTGACGTTTGCCTATAATTTCCACGCACTGGTTTTATAGTTAGGTTAGGTTAGGTTACACATAATCATGATTCACATAATCGTCATGGTCGGATATTCTTTAAATCATAGTCGGCCATGTTTATTCAGCTCATTCAGGTTTCATTACGATGTTTTCCTTCATTAAAGTCAAAGTCTTGAGCCATAAACCTTTTCGTCGACCCCACCGAATAAACTTGTAAAGGAAAAACTGCGACTACAGGAGCAATTAAAAACTTAAAAAGTAATATTACACATTGGTGATTGGATATACTTAAATACAATGTATGACAAATTAAAGGTGAAAAAACATTGTCTTATATTAAAATACGAAACACGAAAATATTGATAGTTAATCAGAAATTAATAAAAAACTCTTTTATATTTTTAATTTTAGTAAAAATTACTTCGGCGGCTGCTCGCTTGTAGTGTTTAAATTGTAATGGCAGAAGTGATATATATTTACTTCTAAATGTGAGATAATATTTCTCTGTTTTACTATGGTTAATAAGATTTGTCAATGCGAATATTATATAGTTACATGGTTATTCTAGTAGTTGGTCATGAATTTTTGAAAGTGCAAAAATGTATTACAATTTTAAAGATTTTTAATGATTCCCACGAATCATATTACAAAGTTAGTTTGTTATAAACATGCAAGAATATATCGCACTGTTAATGTAATAGTGTATTAACCCAAAAAGTGGACTTTCTCAGAAACGATGAAAAACGAATCATTAACGTCCCGCAAAAAAATCATTAAAATTTATATGTTACAGTTTATTATAGACAGTTAAACAATTTCTCAAATATATTTAAAAATAAAAAGGAAAAAACAATTTCATGTTTTTGAATAAGGATTATTTTGGCCAGAAATAGCTTACATAAAGTGTCTCATTTCGGGTTAAGTTGATGTGTAGAGAATCAAATTTTACGTTCAGTAATGATAATATTAAATTTAACATATTTTGAGTTACAACATTATTGTAATAGCAATGTAGTGTGCAAAATGGTAACCTATCACAAACTCGAAATTTTTTTTTGTACTAAATAACGTTTGTTCGAATTTTCATTACACCGAAAACCGAATTATAACGAAACAGTTGTTCTTTCAGGATATGTTGAATATTTATCGCAAAGACACGATTAGGTTCGATTAGGTTAGGTTTAAAAGAAAAAACGTTTTCCTCTCAAAATTACTTTCGAGGTTAGGAAATTTCGACCAAACGTTATTTCTGGAAAATGTTCTGTGAAAACCGCACAAAATACATACTTGCAATATTTGTGCGAGATTGTTGATTTTATTTTTCGTAGAATGAATTTTGGCGTACCGAATAATTATAAAATTTATTGGAAAATAAATCTGAAATACTGTAAAATCTTTTACACGTGTGTTCGGCGGGGCCGTCGTTATAATTTAGATTAGAAGTAACCATTCTTTCACTAAGCTACGAGCGCTCTTAATCTGACTAAGTAAATTAAATAAAAATGACGCAGGAAATAAAACTAACATAAAAATGGAAGTAAATTAATTTGCTACTCGAGAATCCAGTGAAGGATAAATAATGCAAAATAGCGCTTGTGTTGAGCAAATACTGACCGTATTTGCAAACACCACCATCAAAAATATTCGACCTCGCAAAGTAACGCCTGAATCTATTAAAATTAATAATATCGTTTTTAATATTACATAGATATTTTGCCGTATTAGGCTACATACAACCAAATAGCCTCCAAGCCGTAATGTGAACATTACTGCGTTCCAGTTTTGAAGGGTAAGGGCGCTGGTGAAATTACAGGCATATGACACGTGGCAGTGACCCTCAGATCACATACCCGAATACGCGCCACTACACGCATCGGCGCTTCACTCGTGACGCGAGCTTGCCCCTAAAAATCGGCGCGTTTGAAATCACGGAGTGTTGGAAGCCTGCACTATCGTGTATGCCATCGATACAATAAGAAGAAAAAGAACCACTTTACCCGTACAAACACGGATGATACATCAGCCGTATACAACACCAATAGTCGCATACTGATTGGGCGAGGCAAATGTTCGGTCGGTTTACTCGCGCAGCAGCCTCGCTATGTTGAGCTTTATGACGCCAAGTCGTAGGCATTATGGTAAACAACACGCCTATCCATAACAGTTGCAGTGCCACTCAGAGACTTGAAATCGCAAAGATCTCAGGGGCACTGTCACTGCGCCCATCACTCTGAGACATGACGAGTCTCATATGCCTGTAATTTCACTAGCTCACTTACCTTTCAGAAATTTACAGAAATAGGTGAGGTGGCAGTACTTCCCTGGACGAACTCTTTCACAAGGAGCTCTAGTACTAGACTATGACCTATGACCGTCTTCGTAGAGGAACCCGTGCGTAGCAGTGGGACGTATAACAGCTTGGTGTTGATGACGATGATGATTTTATGTTTTGGTCGGAGGATTTTTCAGGAAATAAAATAATATAAATAGAAAAGAATAAGATGAAATATAATTTTATATTTTGAAAAATGAAGAACTTTTGATGAGTATACTTGAATTTATAAAAGTACTTAATTCTCTCGTAATCGTAATTAATTAGTAACATTGACATTGTATCTTACGGCTATATAGAACAGTATATTTTTGCACATCTAAGCATAAAACGTATTACTGCGTAACACGATCATTTTATATCAAAAATAAGTAGTTATTATGTTACCGTAATATAGATGGCTTTTGTGGTTATTCACCAAATTATTATCACTAATTACTGGTTTCTTACCACGAATGCGAAATATCGGGAAAATAAGAAGACCTCTCCTGGTAAGAAAGCTGTAATTAGTAACAATAATTATACCGGTAGTGGTGATCCATAACACAGCTTTTACCTAGCTTGAACACCAGTTTCCCATTGTAGCTTTACTAATATCTATGTTTCTACAAACTGTTATTGTAATATTTGTAAGCCATTGGGAGGAAATAAATTTCTATTCTATGGTTATTTTACTAATGGTTTTTTTGTTAGAAATGAAGGAGGCTCTTTATTCGACTGCATTTTTTCTTTTATTATTTTTTTCTTTCATTCTTTTACTGTTGGAAAGAGACTACCTCAATTTTTACTCCCATTTAAATTTGAAGAAAATATTCCACCTCTATGGATGGGAAACTAGGTGATGAATCCGGTTTCGCGCCCTTTCCGGTAACCGATTTCAATATAACTTGGCACGTAGACGTAATTCCATTAACTTGTGGTCGGTATTTTTTTTATAAAAAAGTTAATTTTAATTTAAGTTTTATTGATGTAGACTAGGAATTACTTGAGTGTTTTTTTTTTATTTTAACCTATTATTTCCCATTGCTGGTCAAAGGTCTCTCCCCAAAAAAACCCCAAAATTGATCTATATTTGATAGTGTATTTAGAAGAAAAATTTTGTTTACTAAAACCATTCAACCATGTTCCCATTTTGTTTTGATTTTTTAAAAAATAATTTCGGGAGCTATGATTCGCTCTATGTGTACCTATTATTTCAAATTTATCCAAGAATGCTTTGCCTATTCCGGACTGTGATGTTATAGTAATAATAGGTAGTGACAAATTTGTCTTTATCAGCCATTCAGAACATAATCGATGTTGTTACAGACCAATATACCCTGGACAGCGATTACATCAAGAGGTATTTGGGTGAGCTGACTCCGCTTCAGGAGTCGCGGCTGTTGCAACTCAGGAAGTGGATTGCTGACCTGCAGAAGGGGAAGGTAAGCAAGATTTAAAACAAACTTAAAATCTGTCGGAAGAAATTAACTATATAATCCATAAAGGCTTTAGAGAAGCTCATGTGTCTGCCCAGGCAAGGGCAATGTTAAAAACCATCTTCGCTTGCAATGGAATATCTAGTTGTAAATATAAAATTATTAATACACGTGTTTGTTAATATCTTTAACTATACCATGTTACCAACCATGTCGCACTGCTAAGACAGAACATAGCGCACTATTAACGGTGGGTTATGTTAACCTCTATGGTACAGTATACACCAATAGTATACTGTAGAACCATATTCTATGTGTTATTATGTTCTAGTCTTAGGTATATTGTGCTACAGGTCTAAAACTAGGAAATTCCCTGTACTGCGACGTTTAGACCAATAACCGCAACACGCAGACCAGAACCGATTCATTTCCCAAAATTGGTTCAACCGGGAGTCAAACTCGAGATCTCCTCGTCCAGCGTCCATAGTGCAAACTGATGGTTCACCGAGGTCGTTGACTGTTGGCTTTAACTGTGGCATGTTGTAACAACCTTCCATTCATATGAATCATAACTAGATGTAAAAAATGTAAACAAAAAAGTCATGATATGTCATTGTCAAAGTGTGAATGCAGGTGTGTTAAACTTTTTATTTTTAACGCAATTAGAAAAGGAGTAGGTTCTGTTCTGTAATTTGAATTATCTTTAGCAAAATATTGACAATTAACAAAAACTTTAACAATAACACAGAATAATTTAACAAACGCACTACGGAGACAAGAAGACATTCGAGTTTGGGAAACAAAAGCACAAATGGCACAAAAAATGTTTTTAATCCCGATTATGTTACCAGTCATAAAATTATTTACTACCTTAAATTTGTATTTTCTTTCTTTTATTTTATTATAATTATTGTATTAAACGAAATTAAGTAAAATATATATTGCAAAATGTGAATTGTTCCATGTTTTATCAGATTACGACTCGCAAAAGAGATTTATTATGCCAAAAATGAGACACTACCATTGAAAATGTATTTTTTTTACTCGGTTATACCTTTTCTTTACATTTTGCACATCTAATGATTGATACTAAAAACAAAATGCGGGTTTTCTTCCACATGGTTTTCACAAGTACAATTTTACAGGTGCCAAGCGACACGACTCTTCTCCGTTTTCTGCGCGCGCGCGACTTCAATGTAGAAAAAGCGCGAGAAATGCTCTCGCAGAGCCTGCTCTGGCGCAAAAAGCATCAGGTCGACCGCATTCTATCTGAGTACGAGACCCCTGACGTAGTCAAACAATACTTCCCTGCTGGATGGCATCATCATGACAAAGGTTAGTATTGTCATTGAACAATAAAACATGTTGTGTTACTCCCTACAAACGTAGCAGCACGGTTTGTATGTTTGTACCATCGAGTATATAACCAGAAATAGAGACGAAATGTCATTTAATTTGTTTGAAAACTATTCTGCCATATCATTACTGTGACAACTGCGCTCCGATTGGCCACCCCGAGTTCGAAACAATTGACGGGTGTCGGCAACAGTTTCACTTCAAATCGATCAATTAACTTGACAGTTAGCTATGCTGTAATGGACGAAAATTGCAAAATTACACACTTAATATTTAATTACCGATGAAATGTGATTCCGTTTGTTTTGTAATTAGATGTTTTGCTGTTCTGTTTTGATCTCCCACACCACCGAATACAACAGCACAGCATTGTTAGAGATATTATCTTTGTTACAATAAATACAGAATATTTTTTGGAATATACGGAGACGTACACACAGGTCAGTAGTTGGCCTGTCTATATTTCAGCGCAAATTGAGTTGATATTTATAAGCGCTGTATCGCTAATGTGTTACCAGGAATATATGGCACTTATTTCGTCTCTATTTCTGGTTATATACTCGATGGTGTGCACGCTCGCCGCGCCCTGTACGTACGCACCACAAACAATAAATACACTAGAAGTGCTTGGCGGGCGCGGCGGTGTGACAACAGTATACGGAGTGCCACATACTTAAGCTCTGTCCACCATTGTCGCTTTGTACTTTATGGTCGTGTTATCTTGCGCAAAACATCGAAAATCGTAGACAAATGCCTTATTTTGCTACTTTTTTTAACGCACAGTATTTCAATTTCTCCCGCCCCGGGAATCGAACCTGGGACCTCTGCGTGACAGTCTGGCATGGTAACCGGTCCGGCCACGGAGGCAGTTTCAAACTTTTTTATAGTCTGTTCCAATCCATTTTGAACAAAAGTAAACAAACCTGTTTGGTTAAAATTCTAAATCTATCTCTCAATAAATCGTATAAGTAACACTTTCACGTATATTTCGAAGATTTCGACTTGATATATCATCACTTTTTCCAACAATATTCATTTAAATAGCATCGTCAAATCGTATTTGAAACATGGTAGTCCAAAAGTGAAGTTATTATTCCTCTATACTTCTATGACTTGCCTATGGTTGCATAGTGCTGTTCGAAAAAAAACATTCGGTTCAATCAATTAAAGTCTAGTAATCGATTATTAACACCTTTACACCGTGTACACCTTTCATTATAGAATTGAAGCGTTCGCTCGTCGTTGAAAGTATATGGACTAATAAATAAGTAGGGTACTGTTTTCCAGTCAAGCAGTGCTAACTCCGTCAGCAAAGTTAGATACGTACCCGACATAAATAGGCTTTAAAATACTAGAAGTACAGGCTAGATTTTGAACTATCTTACAACCCTATTGACAGACGGTCGACCGCTCTACATCCTCCGGCTGGGCCAGATGGACGTGAAGGGACTGTTGAAATCCATCGGCGAGGATGGCCTCTTGAAGTTGGTGAGTGGTTTCTGATGTTATTGGAATGAGATACTATTATTATCTATAGGAAATGAAACTATTTTTTCGGATTTAAATCGCTTATATTTGTTTTTTCAAACAAACCGACGTTTCTTATATTGGACAAACGAAGCGAAGTATTTGTACCCGCGTCAAAGAACATATTGCTAATGTCAAACACCGTCGCGTAAACAAGTCTGCAGTCTGCGAGCATGTCATGGATAAACCTAAACATTCAATGAAGTTTGACAAACCCCAGCTCCTTGTAAAAGAACTCCGGTATCTACCCAGAATGCTGCGAGAGGCCTTTGAAATTAAAAAAACATCCTAATTTCAACGGGGCAGATGGTTTCTCTGTACCACCAGTTTGGGATCCAATATTTCCTTTGATGAAAATCCCAAACAAACATAAGACTGCAGTACTAATTAATAATAAATTCATTCCATACAATAATTTGTAAACGTAATGTAGCGTAAATTGGAATGTTGTCTTTGTAAAATTAAAAATAAGTTATTTAATTAATAACTTTTGCAACTATAGTGAAAAAATAGGGTGGTTTGCATTAATATTACACATAACTGGTTGATGACTGTACCACCTCAGTCGACCGTGACCATGGGACCTGTAAAGGGCCCGAAACGTCGGTTTGTTTGAAAAAACAAATATACGCGATTTAAATCCGGAAAAATAGTTTAATTTCCTATGTGTAACTATCGCAAAAACCTAAGAACTCGATATACCATTATTTCTTCAATATTTATTGCCTAATTTCAGTGTGCAGTGCCTAATTTCCCGGACAATTTTTATTATATATTAGAATATACTCGAATGTTTAAATAATAAAAAATAAAAAAGGATTTTATCTAGTAACATAATCTTAGTCCCCAAAGTTTTCACCACAAACGCACAAACCCCTAACTTAGTCGGTGTATTTTAGACTTTTTCTCTTTTGCTCTGGCTGCAAAACATTGTGACAGAACCTGCACGTGTCGAACACGGTTCACAACCATTGGCAAACGTTTGTAGTCCCCATTCCGCATTGGACCAGCAGCGAGGCAAACTGTGACATAAACCCTCTCCTTAGAGACCCGTGGGCGTGGAACTGTTAGGTGGTCGTTCAGATCAGTCTTTTTGAAGAAATCTAAACCTCCTAAAACATCTAATTACAAAACAAACGGTATCATATTTCATCGGTAATTCAATATTAAGTATGTAATTTTCGTCCATTATAGCAAAGCTCAAGTCATCTGGTCGATTCGAAGTGAAACAGTTGACGACACCCGTCATTTGTTTCGAACTCGGGCTGGCCAATCGGAGCGCAGTTGTCACAGTAATGATATGGCAGTTTTTAAACAAATTAAATGACATTTCGTCTCTATTTCTGGATAAATACTCGATGCACTGAATCAATTTAACTGACTTCCCGATTCCCGTAGCGGTGGCCTGAGTTGTATCCCACGTAAAATATTGAAATTAATGTATTGCATTGTGGAAAACTACGGCTGTAATTAAAAAAATCAAACTTTGCAATACTATCGTATTGGCTTAGGCTACTATAGATCGTGTCTATTGTACAGGCTACAACGATGAAATAAATAAAATGTAAATTTTGTATTAAAAAAAAACCAGAACAAAAGTTCGTGGATTACATCTATTTGCCAAGTTTCAGTGCGCGAAACCGGATTGATCCCCTAGTTTGCCACCCTTAGAGGTGGAATGTTTTCTTCTAATTTAAATAAGGCCAGTACTAAGGTACCCCTTTCCAATAAAAAATAATCATCGAAATGAAGACTAATCGCGTAGCATAAATAAAAATGAATTTCGATTCGAATGTCGAATTGAGAATCTCCTCCTTTTTTTTAAAGTCGGTAAAAAATAAAACACTTTTTTTGTTGCTTAATGTTGTGTATGTAAACTTTATCTACTGTACTATATTGTACTATATTATCTTGATTATTAAAATGTTTCTGTAATTTATACTACTAAATTGTAATCTCTTACGTAACAAAATATCATGCCCTACTAAACGCTTTTTTCTAGACTCTTCACGTTTGTGAAGAAGGACTCAAGCTCCTCGAAGAGGCAACACGGTCATCGGAACACGCGATCCAGTCGTGGTGCATGTTGGTGGATCTGGACGGTTTGAACATGCGGCACCTATGGAGACCAGGCGTCAGAGCGCTGCTGCGCATCATCCAGATTGTGGAGGCCAACTACCCTGAGACCATGGGAAGGGTGTTGATAGTGAGAGCACCCAGAGTCTTTCCTATTCTTTGGACCATTGTCAGCACGTTCATCGGTAAGGACTGTTTTTAACTGTGCGAGGAAGTAGTTACTTAAGCGTGGTTACACACGGCGACATTGATGCAATCGTTTATAAATCGCAAGTGTAGCGATGCAGTCGCGCGTTTGCATCGCTGCTAACAGTCGTCGTGTGTAACAGCTCCAAGGTAGATACTTGTTAGTAAATAATCAAAGCTATGTATAACGTGATAATGCCGATTTTTTAGAACTACGAATATCAATATTAAAATATTTTATAATTCATCTTCCTAAACTTAAATTAAATTTGCCACCCTTAGAGAATTTTCAGATATAATTTAATGATTGTCACGACATTAGTAAATTATAAACTCATTAGGCTAAGTTCACATATCGCACTGTTAATACAATAGTGCATTAACTCAAAAAGTGTATGTTCTCAGAATCGATCGAAAAACGAATTACTCACTTCGATTGAAAGATCTGTGTAAATTTATGTAAAAGTTATTTCCTACTTACCAAATATACGTATTTAAAAATAAAAGAGAAAATAGTTTCATATTTTTATATAAGGATAATTTTTTTTTTTTAGGAGCTAGCTCACATAAAGCGTGTCGCATTTTGAGTTAAGTAATTAATTAGATATATTTTAGTTGTTTTTTACAATATTCTAACGACATTTTTATTGACGTGTAGAGAATCAAATTTTACATTCAGAAATGGTATAATCTTGAATTTCATAAATTTTGAGTTATAACTCTATTGTAATAGCAGTGGAATATGAGTATACTTTTAACCAAGGAGGTTTAAAGTAACTCATTTTGAGTTCAATACATATCTTTCAATTATTGTTACAATATTCTGACGACGGTTTTAATGACGTGTAGATAATCAAATTTTACGTTCAACAATTACATCATCTTGAATTTCACATATTTAGAGTCAAAGTCATTTATTCTATAGTTAAAATTTGTACACTTGAATACGTCATTTTTTAAGCTACTGCTGGTTCACTACGTTGATCTCCCTATAAAGAACGAGCAAGAAGCTCTAGGGATTGCTCCTTTCAAATATACTTAAATGCTATGAAATACACTTTGTTTGGAATCTAGATTCATGTTGTCTTTCATACATCTTTATCTAACAAATACTCTTCAATTTTGTAATACGACTTTTCAATTCAAATACTTTTAATGTAAGTTTTCAACTTACGAAATAATAATCTTAATATATGCTCCGGTATCTTATTGAAATAACGTATACAGTTCCCCATAAAATATTTGTTTACCTAGGTTAAATGAAATCGTGGTACCATGGGTTTGGACTTAGTTCTAAGGTTAATATTATGAATATCTTCTTTTTTAATGAAATTATGTATATTTTTACGGGCATGCAAAATATTTGAGTCAATGTATTATGATGCCACAGTCATAATACCAGCCTCCTTAAACTTTTCTCAGAGAGAAATCCGAGAACCTAAACGGTACACAGAACGAGTCTCTCGGTTTTGCAACACAAATATGGTTTGTATATCTGTCGCTTTACCCCACAAGAGCCTAATAATACTAATGCGATAGAAGTTTGCCAAAAATGTAGCGAAGTTCATTTCTGGTCCCTTTCTGCTCCTGAGGTCGACAAACACGATAGTATGTGTGAATGACAATTTAATATCGTAAATAAAAGAACCCATTAATAACGCGCGTGCGCGTTAAAACTAATTTAACACCAAACCGGATTTAATTTCTTTTAAATTGAATAGCTTTGTTAATTCATTGTATAAATGTAAATTAAACGTGTTCTAGCTTAGGCAAATAAGTTGGATCGTCTATAGATATTAATAGAGCGGTGGTGGCTTAGTGGTAGAAAGGTTGCCTCTCAATTGTGAGGTAGATGGTTCGAGTGATGATTGCCCTATGAGAGAACGGCTGAAAGCCTTAATTGTGGGGTCGACGGTTTGAATCCATATGGCAGCATGTACCTACCTATGATCTGTATTTCTACGGGCCTATGCACACAGTGTATTTTTTACGGCGCCGTAGAGGCTCAATGAATACATATGCTAAAGTTTACTAGCTGCGATTGAATCTTGTATGAATCGCGTTAACGCGCGTCATCCGCGCGTCGTCCGCGCGTAATAAATACGTCATAATTAAATTATGTGAAAGTTTTGTTACAATACCTCTCGTCAACCGTGAAGAAAACATCATGATGAAAATCTGCACGTTGAAGAAGGTTCTGAACCTTTGGACAACTCGTAATACCCGCGCATAGGACCTGCGTGGCGTACTATGACCTAAACCCAGTGTTTGGAAGAGACCGTGTCCGGCTGTGTGACGTATAATAAGTTGACGGTGATGAATAACCACTTTCCTCTCCAATCAAAATATATTCCTCGTGATTCCAGACGAGAACACGCGCAGCAAGTTCCTGTTCTACGGCGGCAAGGATTACCTGCAGACCGGTGGACTCCTCGACTATATACCTAAGGATCTCATCCCCGACTTCCTCGGCGGACCTTGCAAGGTATGCTTAAATTTATTTAAGTACAACTACTACACTTTAATCGAGATGTCACTGCCAGTAAATTAAAAAAACAAATTAAAGAACATACGCAATGATTAGTCAGATTCTTTTACGGCCTGCGACCTTGTCTATGTATATCTATCACTCTACAGAACGTCTTATGTTTCTGTAATCCTTTCTTAATCGTGATGGATGGCTCGAAGTCCAGGAGACCTATACCCAGCAGTGGGTGAAATGATGATGAAAAATTGTACAAATCTACGTTGCTTATGTACTTTAAAAGGAATAATACGAGTAAAAACAAGGATTTCATTACATCTGGAATACAGTAAAAATAAAATAAATAAAAAATAAAATCGGCTTTATTTGACATGCATAACACATAAATTTCAAACATTAAACAAAGAAGAAATATAAAAAAAAATTGTAAAAATAAATTCAAATTAAAAGAACAAAGAAACAGATCAAAAGTGTCGATGACTCAGCGTTTGAGGACTATGCTAATTACATAGCCTTTTTTTCCATTTTCATAAGTTTGTTTTTAAATAACATGGAATTAGTTAACATGGTATTTCTATTCATAAATTTTATTACTATTTCGAATTATAAGACATTATCTATATAAGGTGCCAGCAAATTAGATACGGCAAATTTAAGTGTCGACGTTCACATCGGGAGGACAAATTTAAATTTTTATACAATTTTGAACATCGTTTATGTATGATAACCGATTTTAATGAAACAAACACAATATATTATTCCAAGGTTATCTTATTCACCAAAAACCAATATCTAAATAGATTCAGCCACAAATTTTTTAAACTTTAAAAAAAAATTTTTAGTAGCGTGTATTCAGTAGGTTATTACTGACTTTGAAATATTGAAATGCAGACTTAGTTTCTTAACGATGTTATTATCTGTATTGTGGGTGTGTTTTTCCAAAACGGATAGATTTGTAATGGTTTATTAAAGATGGAAATACCGTGTTAAAAGATTGCTGGAGACTTTTATTACAACAACGCATTTTGATTTCAACTGATATGTGATTACCTACATATACCTATTTATATGTACATACTATCACCCTTATATCCCAATACCCACTGTGGTAGGCCACGAAGAGACCATAACTAATCTGCGCTCCTGAAAATTCTTTTTTTCGCCTTGTCCATTAGTCACTTTAGATTGGTGATGTTCTTAAAAAGACCAGGGGACCTACTATGAGCTCTTACAGCAATCCTATTTAAGTCTGTAAGTTGGATTGCCTGTCAAATTCGTACCTCATAAAAACAATTTATTGTAGTTTACGTTCCTCATTCGAAATCCGTTCACTTTTTCTTTCATAGCAAAATAATATCATGAGGTGCTATTTGCCAAGCAAATGGCGGTCTCATCTGTAAATACAAGCAATTCAAAAAAAGTCCTACTACTCCGTGACTAACTTTTTTTGGATTTTGTTACATTTTTAAGAAATTTCGTTTAAGTTTTATTATATTTTCAGTTTCATAATTACTTGTTATCTTTATAGGCTTTATAGCCAATTGTCAATAAATAAATACTATTAACTATTAAGCGCTTTTTGAAAATTTTTGGTCGTGTTCCCAATTTTTAAAATATTATTAATAAATTATTGGCATGAATGTATTGCAATTTTTAAATGGGATTTTAATAATTTTATTGACTGAAAATCGTAAAATAACTTTTAAATAGTGCCAAATTTGATTTTAATGCAATCAATGAAAATGTACGAATACAAGATACGTTCCAATTATGTTATCAAATTACAAACTCACCTTATTAATTTCAATGATAATGACTAGACATGACATGTAATTTTGTGGTACGACAAATTGTAAAGTATGATTAAAAAGTTGCCGATATTACAAAACAACGGTAGTAAGTATAATCAATAATAAAATTAATAAAAAAATATAATTATTCTCAATTTCGAACACAATCGATTAATAGTGCTTGAACGTTCCCAGGGTAGTATATCTTTCTGTTTCTTTCATATGATTTAGTATGTAGTTTCATCTCGCTCTTGTTGGATGTCAGCCAGCCAGCCAGAGATAATAATTAACGTTTAAAAGTAAAACTCATCATCCCGTCATGCCATTCCCGTTCAACTTTATGTAGGTCATGATACGAATTTAAACAATTCAGTTTTACCACGTCAAGTGAATTGCATGGAACTTGGCTGGCTGGTTATAAGCTCATAGTAGGCCTCCAACTTAAGGTAATTAATAAATTCAGGTGTTACTTTGCAGAAGTCCATGTGAATAAAAATGGAAGTAAATCAATTTGCTACTCCGCAAACTCAGCGAAGGTTAAATCGTGCAAAATAGCTGCGCTTCTGTTAAATATTTTGTGTCGAGTAATCAACAACTCCTGAGGATGCCTCGTGGTGAAACACTTGTCGGGTATATTTTTGGTGGTGGTTTGAGACTAGTTGCGCTTGTGTTATTTATTTTATAATTTTATGCGGAGGGTGGGTGGAAAAATTAATTGCATGAAAAAAATATTCAACACAAGCGAAGGTATTTTGCACTATTTAACAATTTCTGGATTCGCGGAGTAACAAATTAATTTACTTCAATTTTTCCAAAATCAACGATCATCTAAAAAGAGACTATATATAATATAATTCCTAACAATAAGATTTAAGTTACTGCGGTTTTTATTACAATTTGAGAGAATTAATTTCATAACTGAAAATTGACGACAAGAAACTAAAAGAGGCCTATATCCGGCAGTGGGTGAGTTCGCGGTACTGCGAGTACTGCGGATGGTAATAATAATGTGCTAGATAACCACATCAATTACTTGGTCTCAAACTAGAAGTCCTTGTGCAACAAGTACCAGAGCAACATAATTCACTCCTAGGCGCTACTCACCCCAGAGCCAATTTAGAAATATTCATTTCCTAAGTTGATCTTACCGGAAATCTACCTCGGGGCTCCCTTATCCAGCGCTCACAATTCAAATCGTTAGACCACCCGAGATCATCGTATATTATTATGGTGGATGATCAAGAATGGCAGATCAGTACGTAGGTAATTTAATATCAAAATAGAAGGACACTATATCGTAAATAAAAATATGTTTTATTTCTTTTTTCTTTGTATTTTTATAGTCTTAAGAACTTTTTAAATTCACCATGGTACAAAACATGTTAATACAATTGTATGACAGGATATAATACAATTTTAGGTTTTTATTCTTAACGTCTGTTTTATTTTTGACTAAAGTTATTATTCTTCTTCACGTCTTGGTGCGGCAGACGGACATTATAAACCCGTCGCGTAACGTGCCTCAGCAGTTCTACGACGACGTACGGTTTTATTGTTCAGTACACCTGCACTTAACAGTGCGGGTCCTCACAACGCGCTATGTCATCTTTGTATTTAATGGTCGTTCAAATTTCGTTAATTTAAGAGAAACACATAGAGAAAGCTTCGGCGCATACTTGCTTTACCTGCCTGCTAATCATGGCGGTCGTGGTTTATTCTAATATATTAAAGTTTTCATAGTAGTGGCCTGTTATTTTTGTAATTTGTACATGCTGTATAAATAGACGGTAAAAAAAAAGAGTTAACAATACGAAACACTGTTAGAATAAAGTAAACGATAACAGCAAAAAAAATCAGTTGTTCCGTACTCATTACAATACAATATATACATATACTCTTTGTTGCACACAAGAATAAATACAAAACAAACAAAGAACAAAGGCCAGCGGACTTATTGCAAAGAAAAATTATTGTTGTTAATGAGTTTCTGTATAATTTTATCTCCACTTACAATCTCACGATAGTTACTTCTGCAAATGTCATTTTAATTCGTCTTGAAATAAAAAATAGTATAAAGATTTCAGTAAAGTTTTAAAGGTCTCAATAGACTCAGCTCGTTTGACCGATTAATTATTGTTCATTACCACTCAACCAAAACATTCAAAACGCCTTATTTATTTTTAACCTATTGCTAATGGTTGTCTATAGTGAAATTTGTTCACATTAAAAGTCTATACTACCTCAGAGTTTGAATCGCGTTTTATGAACATTATTTTTTGTCAAACGGTTTGAACGACCATATGGTTAAACACTGTACAGTCAAAGAGCTATGTTCACGAAAACGTCACATCAACTGTTACACTTAAGTGTCATGTAATGTGCTATAATATTTTAACAAGTCGTCATATTCACTCAAATGTATCACCATCATTTGTAATTATGTTCAAGACGTATTTTTAGTTTCAGTACGACATATTTTAGAACTTTGCCTAGTGTTTAGTACTCTGGGCGCTAGATGAGGAGATTCCGGGTTAAATTCCCGCCAGGACCGATTAAGGGAATTATATTCCTAAATGGGTAGCGTTTTTAACCGTCTTCAAAAAAGTAGGAGGTTCTCAATTCGTCTGTATGTTCTCTTTTTTATGTATGTTACGCGATAACTCCGGTATTTGTGAACCGATTTTCATGATTCTTTTTTTGTTGGAAAGGGGGTGGAAGTATCCAGTTGGAAAGGCATGTTGGAAACAAAAAATAGTGGTCCCGTTTCATTTTGAAGAAAAGCATCCTCGAAGGGTGGCCGTTCACGCATGAAGATTCATTTTTATAAATGGCGCCTAACTTTAATTTAGGAGCAATTACTTTAATGGTTGATTTTGCTATTTCTCCAATTCAAGGCGTTTTTCTCTCAATATATTTTGAGTAGTGAGAACCGATTTATATTATCTCCAGTGTCAAGTCCTGTATAGTGGCGAACTAGGGGATATTTCAATAAAACTTAGCAAATAGACGTAATTCCACTTACTTTTGAGGCCGGTTTTTTAGTACTCTGTACTGAGATTATCCTAGGTTAATTTTATTATTTTAGTACTAGCCTGGACTCGAACTAGAAATTTCCCCGTGCTGTGAGGATCCAGAACACTCAGATCAGAACCAATTTAGAAAAACTCATTTCCCGAATTGGTCCTGCCGGGAATCGAACCCGGGACTTCCTAACTATAAAATGATTAGCAAATAAGTCCCATCATGATATCCTACAATCCATAGGTTGTGTGTATGGGATTGCTGCTTAGCAATAAGGCTGCCTTTCGTCTTGTGTATTGACTGTTGTAACGTAATGTCTCTTTGTGTATGTACAATATAGTATAGATCTGTTGCAAACCGCCAGATGGCGCCATTTGTCACTTCACGCATTGTAGTTTTTTCATTGTAACAAACAAGGCATTTAAGTTTTAAATTAATTTGCATAGTACGCTAAATGTTTGTGTTTGTAATTGTCGCAAAAATGTGTGTAATTAACCTTCTGCTTTTGTGTTTGTAGAGTTTCGTTCACGAAAGCGGCTTGGTGCCGAAAAGTCTATATGTGTCGGGTGCGTTCACGGAGCGCGATGGTGACCCTTTGAGTGAGGACAGCATTTACCAATCTGTCAGCCTCGGAAAGGGACAGGTAATGAGACAAGCATTAGCGATAATTGTGTAGTATTACCTCAGTGACAGTTTTCTTTTTAACTTTTCATTTTAAGTAATCTTTCCTATATCCATGGACAAATAACTCAGACTTACTTACTTAGAGGACTGCTAATCTCCGTCATACAGATCGCAGCTCTGAAAAAGTCAACATTCCGTCTTACATCTAGATGGCGCTGAACAATAGCTTGGAAGTAGTTGTTTATGTTAAGTATATGACCGTGGGTATTAATTAATTCCTCTTTAATATGAAATGTAAGAAGTCAGTATTTTTTTTCTATTAGTATTATTGAAATACCGATGCGAGTCAATAGATGGCGTTGTGTGTTACAAATTAATTAATAAATTAACGCTTCCTAATATGGATAGATGGCGCTAATCCTAAACAAAATAAAAGAATAGTCGACACTATCCATAAAGGTCTATGCAATAAGCACCATCTATTTGATTCGTTTGTTCAACAACACTAGCCGTAGAGCTCCTTGTGAAAGAGTTCGTCCGGGGAAGTATTGCCACCTTACCTATTTCTGGTTCCGGTTTTGAAGGGTGCTGGTAAAATTACAGGCACATGGGACTTGTCAATTTATGTCTCAGGTGACGGGTGCAGTGGCAGTGTCCCTCCGATCTTTGCGTTTTAAAGCTCTGAGTGGCACTGCAACTGTTATGGACAGGCATGTCGCTTACCACCAGGCTAACGACTTGTTCGTCCAGTCACTGGGTATTATAAAAAAAAATTGTTTTGAACCCAAAGTAATTTGCTATAGCACGTGTGTTATGGAAATCTGAAACAACGACGGTACGACGAACACCCAGACATTTACATTGACCCAGCCGGGGATCGAATCCGGGACCACAGAGATGGCGACGTCATGAAAACCGATCTGCAAGCTACTCTATCAATTA